GAGAGAGAGAGAGAGAGAGAGAGAGGGAGAGAAAGCGAGAGAGAGAGAGAGAGAGAGAGAGAGAGAGAGAGAGAGAGATAGAGTTGTAAGGCTGTTATTACGCGTCTATCTGTAATGGCACGTCTCACGACAACTATGACAAATCATCCTGTTCACGTTTTGCCTATAATGACAGGCCTACGGTGAGTTATGATAAGCTAATTCGCTGTTCGCAGTGCTGCATGTCTACATATATCAAACGCGTGCGAATATTATCATCGTCTGCGTGATTAGACGGAGCGTTGCACGTACACCCCGTCGAAGGAGGCTGCCCGGTTTCCTCCTTGGCCTCGCGAAGCCACGATTACGCTCATGTGATCTTCTATCTTCTAGTAGTGTCTGGTAACGACGAGTGTGCCGCTACGCGTCCGGTGTTAGTGTCGCATGTATATGACATGTGCGCGTGTTGAACGAGCAGGCGAGATGCGTTAGGCAGCGGGCGAGGAGCGAAACGAGGTGTGTAGGGCGGGCGCAGGGTAAGTGTACGTTTGCGTGTGTGTGTCAGTGTTNCGCGCGCGCGTGTGTGTGTGTGTGTGTGTGTGTGTGTGTGTGTGTGTGTGTGTGTGTGTGTATGTGTGTTAATTGTTCTATTACTACCTGAATTTAAATGATGACCTGGCCCCTTCTCCCATTCTTGACTTGCGCGCCATATTTGTTGATCTACGCATTATATCAGGAGTCTATTGATAGACTCCTGATTATATAATTCTCGCGGTAGCGTGGTATTCTTACGCTAGGGTGAAAACATGACGAGTTGGTAAGCTATTCAACAGTTGATAGTTGAGACGTAAAGGTTTTGTTATAATTTCTCAAATATTTTTCACCGAGTAGATCAACGTTTGGACAAAAAATATAAAAAAAATCAACAAAGAAATATCAATGCTGCACGCTGATATGACGCTCCCCTATTATCTACTTCTGATGTACATGGTTGAATTCATATCATTTACCTACTATTCTCACAAAAAATTAAAAAAAAACGTATAGAGTCACAAGGTCGATAGTGTAAACGCGCTGTATATGTTCGATTTTCGCGGTATAATAGAATATTAATAGAAAGTGGGAAAATTAATCAACTCGTCAACTTTTCTTCTAAAACTCAACAGTGTAAACCCAGCTTAACTCGGGGTAAAGAAATGTTCAAAAATCAGAGCGAAGAGCTAATCTCTTGCGATAACCGTATATGACATTCAGATATCACGTGGATAGATCTGAGACTCAGATTTGGAGAGAGATTCGCGCTTGAAATATTACTAACACGTTCGCGTAGTAGTGTGCAGGTCGACGCAAGGAAGGCGTCAGGTGGAAACACCCAAAGCAACCTGGAGGCAAGACTAAGCGGCTGAACTTAAAGAAGGGCTACACCTGGAGGGGAATGGAGCGGAAGGCGACCAACCGAGCGACATGGAGGGAGTTCACCAGTGACCCGTGTCTCCCAGGAGACTGAAAGGTCTACGAAGAAAAAGACTGGTGTGCGGGGTCAATCACATGTAGTGGGGATTTTCACCGTAAATAAACACAAATACTAATACCCTATATACTAAATACTAAAAACTAAAAACTAAAATACTAAATAAAACAACTACTAAACAAAATACTAAAATATAAACAGTTTTAAGCTTAACGGTGTTAATGTACTTGATTGGAATGAGTTACCTGATGAGGATGAAAGATGATGAACTTTATGAACGCATAATAAACCTATCATAATCAGCAATGTAGCGCAGTGAAATATTACTGTAATTGAATAGTGTTTTTTTTCCACAGTAATCGGTGATGTAATTAAGGTACTATGTTACACAGTGACGGTTTCTCTAATGCAGAATCTTTGGTTCTCCTCATCAGGCATCTTAATATTATCCCATCTGTCACGTCTGACTGAAGCTCTAGCTCGTAAAAGACTTGTGATGAAGTCCTGGTAAGTATGAAGACTTGCTAATTTGCGTAGTACCGACCTATGTCTAACTTGTTCTTGAACGAGTTAAATGTATTATTTCTGGTATTCTTGTGCTCTCGGGTCGCTTCTGTTTGGCGCAAAATCGCCTACCGGTGATTGATTGGGCTTTGCCTCAAATCTGCGTAAAATTCACTAAATCGTATTTACTTACTTTTTTCCTTACCATGTTTAGATAATAGATACCATATATGACATTATGCTAGTTTGAGACATGTTTTATTGCGGTTATATTGCCTATTCTACCACACGCACACGCACACGCACACGCACGCACGCACGCACGCACGCACACACACACGCACGCACACACACGCACGCACGCACGCACGCACACACACACGCACGCGCACATTTACTTTGCACCCTAACCCCGATGCTCTTACGCACGCTAAAAACAATGTCGGCCATCAATCAAGTTCACCAGGCATCAACCTGAATGATTTATAATAACAGTTATGATGAATTGCTGCTCGCCGATGTCACTCGTATAGCCGCCGAGACTTCCGCGACCGTCGCCCGCCCGCTTCGTTGTTGTCGGCACAACGTGTCGCGCCCGTCTAGCCGTCGGTCGTAGCGATGCAGCGGACGGCGCCGGTGTGGGCGTGATCAACTGCCGACGCTTCCTGAGCAAGCGACGACTCAATCACGGCGGGTGATAAATTCATTAAAAACGCCGATGGAGAAAAAAAAGCCGAGCGGTGCGCGTAAGCGACGCATGTGTGTGTGCGTGTGTGTGTGTGCGTGCGTGTGTGTGTGTGTGCGTGCGTGTGTGTGTGTGTGCGTGCGTGTGTGTGTGTGCGTGAGTGCGTGTGTGTGCTGACCGTCTGCGGCTGTCGCTCCTTTGCGTCGCTAAGATTTATGGCCGGCGCGTAACGAACAACGCGTGGCTTTCGCCGCGGCGAGCGCAGCATCGCAGCTCGTAAACTAGCGAGTGTGGAATCCGGGCGGCAGGTGGTGCTGGCAGCGGATACATACACACGCACACACACGCACGCACGCACGCACGCACGCGCGCACACACACACACACATACATACATACATACATATGTGTATATAGATAAATAACTAAATATGTACATGCATACCATCAGGTGATGATAATAGGAGAAACGAGTATGACATGTCGGAATAAAAAATTCTAATAATAGTCTATATGAATGAATCTATTTAAACCTACCTAGTTTGTTCTCTTTTATTCTCCCGTAGTCATATGCTATCGGCAGTTATACATGAATAGAGAGATTCGATATTCTTGTACGCTTGATAGCAGCAGAAACAGCCTGCAAATCAGAAACTTTTGTTTAACTAGAGTATTCCAATACACCACGCATTTACCTGCTCTCTAGCAGCCAATCAGCATCCAATCGATTAATGATTTGCACCGATCGCAGCGCCTGCGGACTTTGTAACCACGTTACGTATAGGGTACTGTCGGGATAGTAGGATTAAGGGGATGATCGCTATAAATATAGAAGTTAACTCGATGTACAATGTAATATATCATGCTTAGAACCTAATCAAGTAATTCCGTTCATTCCATTTTCCGCTAAATTTATCTGAAGTAAGTATGGGATGCGACTGCGCTTTAACAACGCAATGGTAATACTTTATATTTATACTACTATACTATATTAATACTAATATATTTAAATCATCAGTCATTTGTTTGCTCTGGCTTCTGATCGTCTGCTAGTTATCATCTTTCTCTCGTCTCTCTTTCTCTCTCGCTCTCGGCTCAACACACTGGTCGAGTGCACGCGCAACAACTACGAGAAACTGATGAAGCCGTATGTTATGCAAAAGATTTTAGCTAAAAACTAGAGAATTTGCATGCCATCTGGTGGTGTCATGTCGAATAGTACAAAAATTTTGCAAAAAAAACTATTCACAGTCTAGAATCATGTTAAAAACTGCTCAGATGTGCTGTGGTAACCGTATATATAGACCCTCTATATATACCCTGACATATATATAAAGACATGTATGCGGAGAAACTGATGAATATTCTTAAAAAATCTATACAATTGACAAAAAACACTTCGAACACTCCACGAAAGCAGATAGGCTTGTCTATGTAAATACTGACACGAAATTGCTATTGCGCCGGACGAGCAGGCAGCAGAACGTTCAGCCGCTGGCGGCAAAATAAACGCAGCCAAACGATGGACGGGTGCCATCGTCGCTTTAGCAGAGAAGAACGAGCAGTAGCGGTACCCTTGTATGCACGGACGCACGCACGCAGAAACACAACAACACACGGATGCATAGATAAACGCACGGATATACTCACGCTTGCACGTATATATGCGCTCGTCTAGCTCGGTATTAAAGCGTACATGCGCATCGTGTGCTCGTACGCGCCCCTCGATGCGTCGATGCTACGGCCATTGTTGTGCAAACTACGCACCGACCCATGGCTCGCCTCCCCTTTAGAAAAGCTGCGAACGTTTATCCAAGCCCGACGCGTGACGCCAGCCGCAACAATGTGAATTGTTTACTTCTGGCTCTGTTTTATCGCCATTCTTCCCCCGCTTTTGTGCGATCGTTTTTTCAGCATTCATCATGTCAACGGAAATTTTTTAGCGCGAGCTTTTTATCTTTTCGCGCCGCCGAGCGCGATGTAAATTTCTCATTTTCCTTCGAAATTAATGAGCGAGGAAAGGTTAGGCGTTCGAATTCATAGGTGAAACGAAGCCAAAGCGCAGCGGCAATATACAGCCAGACATCAGCCAAGCTTTATGGGTTAAGTTAGCCGCTGCGGTGGATATAAGCGCTGGCTAAGTAGAGAATTAGAACCCGAGTCCGTGCAAAAAAAGATTCATCATCCACCGCGGCAACAGATGATAAGAGCACAGGGTGCGAAATTAACGCGAGTCCGGAGTCAAATACTCCCTGATTTACTGTCGGACTCCCTGATTTGACATATGCAGGAGTCTGTGTGACTCGCTAAAAAATTTTGCTGTACTAACTAGTTCGTTCCAGAGCACGGCCTCGCCGAATTGCCGTATGTTTTCAGCAAATGTCCAAAGAAAATTTGGCAGACGTGCAACCGCATGAATTTGAATCTTCAAAATAAGCACGCGCGTTATTGTTAATATCTTTAGTTTTGAATCTCAGACTGCGGACTCCCCTCATTTTGAGGGCAGGGAGGCCGTTGGACTCCCTTGTTCGAAAGTTAATTTCTACCCTTGCGAGCATAGAGGCCGCGCTCAGCTAGACGATGCCGTGATTATCTCGGATTACATATAGGAAGTAAGACGACACACAATGGCGCCAACACGGGAGCACGCTCTCAGGTGGGCGGATTACCGTTATATTAAGCTGTCATACAATGCGAACATTGCCTATTACTGGGCGGCTAGCGTGATTGCAGGGGCACGCATCGGATAACAAATTAGCATCCCCTGTGGAGGCAGCAGGGTGGCTCACAACAATGGGGGGGGGAGCCTCTCAGCAACTATCGTATCGTAAAGTATTGGTGCCTCTGACGATCTTGTGGTTTGGACCCGACGCTGAGCGTGACTCAGCTTTCGCACGCAGCCAGTCAGAGTATGTATGGGCACACACAGCAGCAGTGGCTTGTAAGTGACGCATCTCAGCAGGCAGGTATGTATGGACTCGCTAACTGCCATCCAGCGCTGTAATGTATGGACGCACACAGCCAGCAGGCTATGTATGGACGCACGCAGCCAGCAGGCTATGTATGGGACGCACACAGCCAGCAGGCTATGTATGGACGCACGCAGCCAGCAGGGCTATGTATGGACGCACACACCCAGCAGGCTATGTATGGACGCACGCACCCAGCAGGCTATGTATGCGACGCAGCGCAGCAGCGCAGGGCTATGGTAATGGACGCTACTGACAAGTGCCATGTCAGGTCGTTAATTTATGGTACGAATCGCACCCGCCAGCTACTGTTATGTACGGCACGCAGCCCAGCAGCGCTCATGTTGATGGACGCACGCACGCCTGTGCAGGCTATTGTTATGGATCGGCTCTTCAGCAGCAGGCTATGTATGGTGATACGCACACTTGCCAGCAGGCTATCTGCCATTAGACCGGCTATCGCGCAGCTCGGCGCTATGTATGGTAGAGCACACCAGCAGGATTGTATGGTAGCAACATCCAGTGTGCAGGGCTATGTATATTGGATACTATCTATGGATGTAAGTGAAGACGCCGGCTCACGTCATGCGGACACTGCCGGACACCGCGGTATCAGGTAGCTGCTGGCTCGTGCTGCTGCTGCTGCTGCTGCTGCACGGTGAAGCTGAGCTCGTTAAGCCACACCTGCGCTGCGGAGGGGATTAGGCCGTGATACGTGGAAGCACACAGGATGCGTAGCAAAACAAGCACGCGATTCGCCATAAGTAGCTTGGGAGGCTGGCGGCCGTGGCGGCCGCAGCGGACGACGACGCAACGAGACACGCCGACGCGGTGACAAGCAATCAATTCGTAAGAGCGTGTAAGCTGATCGGTGGGGTTTTACCCGGGTGCCCGAGAGAAAGTGATGGGGAGGGAAAGCGCGCACAGAGAGATATATTGAATAGAGGAAGAGAATTTGAGGTGAAATAGAAGTCGAAAGAAGAGAGAGGAGAGAGAGGATTTTGCTTAAGAGTGCTAAAGGAAGAATAGAGAGAGAGGATGAGACCGAGAGAGAGAGAGAGAAAGACGAGAGAGATGAGAGAGAGGAAGCTAAGACGAGAGAAACGTGATGTGATGCGAGAGAGAAGTGATTGAAGCGCGGCAGGAGAGGGAAAAAGAGTGAGGGGGAAGAATAACAGAGAGATATGGAACCTATTAGAGAAGATGTTAACATCTCTGGCTTTTCGAAAAGTATTCCATGTCTGATCAAGTGCTTGACTTCAATTAAACTGTAAAGACGTCTCTCGTTTTTTCGCATTCTTTCTGATCAAGAAATATTCTCTGAACTTTTAAGATTCGTATGCAATACCACTAAGAATGGAGGGCGAGCGCGTTAAAAACTTGTAAGTGCGACGACGCGCCATCCGCGCGCGGCACAGCAATGGAACAGACAGTCGGAGAGGTTCTTTGTGTGTTAGCAGTGTGCGATATGACTTGAAAACTATTACCAGTGTGTTGGCAAGCCTGTGCAAGTATAATCTATATATACTAGCATGGAACCGGCGCTAGCGCGGGGCGATTAGTTGGACTGTGGCATGATGTGTTACCGAGTGTGCGTTTAATGTGTAAGGTGTTATAGGGGGAGAGTTTACGTTTGTTGCAGATTGTTTTTTTATGGTTGAGATGTCACTACAGACTACATGTACAATCATGTTACACGTAACAATACAATTTGTTTTGGCCAAGTACACGTGTAAATAAACACAGCACAACCACCACACCACAACACACACACACACAACACACACACAACACACAACAACACACAAATGTTTATTGTATGTTATGAATGGATGATTGATACGGACTCAAAGTTTAGAATATAGATAGATCTCATTGGGCTGGGTAGCGGTCGCTGCCATCGTTAACCACTTGGCTGACGTGACAGTATTATTTACGTGCTTCGCATGTTTGCACTCTGTGCGAAAAAGCGTTAATATTACGTGCTTGTGAATTCGGACCGTTGTGACATGGTCGCTCGCTGTTCACGACACCCCGCACACGCTCTTGAAATAGCGGAAATCTAAAATACCGTGGATCACGACGGCCACCGATCCGATTATCTGCTTGATCAATTGAACTTGTACATCTTTCATAATCGAAAACTTATGCCACAGTAGCTTACTGAAATCTAACTTCAATATTACATGTTTTTATTTCGACAAAAAAATTAAAACACTGTTTACTTAACATTTTATTGGGCTTTTACCAAATCTCTGTGGATGCAGCACAACGTTGCGAAATTATTAGCAAGGCAAAAATATAGCGGCCCCCTATTTTCAGGCAAATCTTTACCTTTCTTAGCCTTATTTTACAGGTTGTTCAACCGACAGTATAGGATTAGAACCGGTCCCGGTGTATCAATCGATCTCTTCGTGAATTTGGCGTATGTAGTGTGGGATCGCAAACTGACGAGAGCCTTTCAATTACCAGAACATACATTAATACATACGCATGTACATACATAAAATACATGCAATGCTGGATGAACGACACGCACGCACTGCACGGCAGCGCGAGCACGCACGCACGCACGCGACGCAACGCAGCGCACAGCACGCACCGCACGCACGCACGCAACGTCACGCACGCACGCGCACGCAACGCGGCACGCAGCACGCAGCGCACGCAC